TTATTTTAAATTTTAGTTATATATAATAAGCATTTAATTTGTATATTACACATGTTAAAGTATCAGTTAGTAAAATGATAATAAATAAAATAATATAATTAAGATTTTTTATTTTATTATTTAATTTTTTGTTAAAAGTATTTTTTCTTTCATTTATGATAAATATTTTAAAAATTGATTAACAAACTTAGTTAAAAATAATTAATATTGTTTTTGAGAAAATATATATATTGCCACTCTCATGTGTTTATTATCATTATTACTTGAGGAATTTGTTTTAAAAGTGTTTTTATTGTTATGTTTACTGATTAATAAAATAGAAATGAGTGTAGTGTTCTTGTTATATTAGTTTGACTAAAACAATTATAGCAACCTAGGTTATTATGGGATGATAAAAATAGATTAAAAAATAAGGAACTGTCATCATCAATGTTTATTTTTATGAAAAAAATATTAAAAAAATCATAAAATAGAAAATGGTCATCAAAAATCAGATTTTTGATTTTTGAGTTTGGGAGTCGATTACATGTAAGGAAAGTATTAGCACCTCACAAGATTCATCCTAAGACGATTACCTTTAATTAATTAAATAAATTATTTATAATTTATAAAATATTTATCTTACCTTAGATTATTCGAAATTAACTATAGCAATCAAATGTATTTTATTTAACTAGTGCATTTATTTTATAAAAAAATCAAAATTATTATACAAAAAAGATAATATTATTTTTGGGCTCGACAAGATTTGTTTCTTGCTCCTATGTATCTCCATATGCAACCGAGAATCAGAGTCACGTAGTTCTTTGTAGAAAATATTTGTGTGTTGATACATTTTTTAATTATCTTTTAATTTTTTTATTAAATTTAAGATTCTTGAATTGTCTCAGCTTATTTACCCTAAAATATAAAATTGACTGAGGTGTACACAAAAGTCAATTCAATAAAATATTTAATTTTAATTATAATTATTGTCATTATTTATTATGGTACAAAAATATAATCTTAGTTTAATATTTCAACCTCAGAAAAAAAAAAGTTAAAAGACATCAAGTTGTCACAACTTATAACTTAAAACTCATAGATTAAAAAGATGTCACATCTAATTAATCATTTTTCAAATAAAGTTTTTGTCATGATAAATTTAAATATTTTATTAAAATGTTGAAATGATATTTTTTTTTTAATTTTTATGATGTAAGTTTTATATTTTTAACTTAAAAATACTTTAAGATAACAAGTTGTCACAATTTGTACCTTTAAGTCTAAAATACTTCATTTTAACATCTGTGAAATAAATTATCCTTTAAAAAAACATAACAATTAAATTATCACAATTTGTATTAAAAAAATTATCCTTTTTTTAAATCTTATATAAACATATGTATATACACTCAATTTCATTTATTAATTATTTCAAGATTCATAAATATTTTATAATGTTTTATATTATTATGATTAGTGTAATATAAAAGAAGTATAAAACAAACGTGTACAATATATTATTATGGTGCAGTGCGGTGGCAATGGCAGTGGCAACTATGGTGCACCGCACCACAACTACGACGCACTACAACACAACTACCAAGCACCACTGCGAACGTCGCGCCCCATCGCGAGCCACCGCATGCATCGTGAGCCACCGTGCGCACTACGAGCCACCACACGCACCACAAGCCATCGTGCACCACGAGCCATCGCGCGTCACCATCCCGGGCCACCTTGCACCTCATAGATTAAGAGTTTCAGGTTTTTAAAAGAGTTAATCACCTATATATTGTCAGTATAAAGTTTTTTTACACTGGCAACTAATTATATATTTTAATTGTACCATGTTACTATAAATACATTTACTTTTAATAGTGACATGACATAATTAAAAGATATAATTGGTTGTTACACTGACAGTGTATAAGTGATTAACTCTTTTTAAAATAAGTTTGAGTTTTTTTAAAATTAGGTGAACCAACCCGTTTAACCCACCAATCCGTGGTGAGTCGTGCATGCGAGTTCAATTTTTTTAAGCTCACTAATAAATAAGTCAGGTTAAGTTAACTTACCAAATGATCAACCCGTGGTAGGCCAAGCCGGATTACCCGTTTTGACAGCTCTACAAAAATACTATTATAAAAGGATGTTTCAAATAATAAAATAAAATAATAATAACAGATAACAAAATACTTTTATGTGTATCTAATAATTAATAAATACTACTGCTACTAGTATCATCAACTAAAACTAAAGTGGCAAACATTTGAACACTGCCTCTTTTGTGGTTTGGAATCTACACTGTCCATATATAATGCTCCTCTCCTCTGTGATGTACACAACATAAACGCGTCTCTGTTTCTTTCACGTGTCTTGTAAGTGAAATTTTGCAGTAGTTCGTGAAACCAACGTTTGGTGGAAGTTGTGGAGGCAGTGGTATATACTTATTAACGATGGATATGTGGAACGTGGTGCATGCATTAAAGCCAGTTCTGCTTATGGTCATCGTTCAGGTGGCAAACGCTTGGGTCAATGTTCTTTACAAACTCGCCCTTAACGATGGCATGAACTTGAGTGTCATTGTTGCTTACCGTTATGTTTTCGCAACAGTTTTCATTACTCCTCTTGCTTTCATCATTGAAAGGTTCTTCTTCTTTCCTTATCTTCTGTTCTTCCTTTTACTCCACGTTACGCTTATTTTAACATCAAAACACTTGTGATAGATTCAACATGTCCAGTTCCTTTACTTGTTCATCTTCTAGACAAATTCATATTATCAATCTTTTTCTATTTCATGATCGTGCAGATTATAATGATCCAGCTATGATATATGAATATAATAATAATATCAATAAAGCAAGCCATGACAACTTTTTCTCCATTTATACTTTTTCTTTTTCCGTGAAAAATGAGAAACATTTATGCATGATAGAATGACGGGACGAATGATTTTTCCTTTTGAGAGTCAAATCTGATTTGAGAATGACTGGTTTTCTTGTGTTGCTTGTAGTTTAGAAATTTTTAGAAGTCTTAGTGGGTACCGCTGTTTGAGCAGACAGATGGATTTAATCAACCCACCTAAAATGCATAGGAGTGAAGAATTTTTATTTATTTATTTATTTGATAAGTCGATAATTAAGTTTATTTGTATGACATGTCTTTTCATGTTGATGACTGTTTGAGATAAATTAAGAAGCAATAACAATAGTAAATGGTACCCACTCGAAGAAATTAGAAAGATAGAGACGAGAATAAATATAAATAATAATAACAAAATGGATATGGTGTTTGTTGAGAATGATTTTGCAGGAAGACGAGGACAAAGATGAGTTGGTCGATACTGTTTCAGTCATTTCTATGCGGCTTAATTGGGTTAGTAATTTGTTGTTTATTGATATATGCTCTGTAATGCTCGTCGTTGCGATTCACTTTTGGCTGTGCCTAGAGTCGTAACCATATAAGGAACTCCTTTATTTGGACTATTGCTTTTTCATTTTTACCTAAAAGTTTTTGGAAAGTTTAGCTTGCTAGGGTTCATTCCCAAGTTTTTAAGGTGAGCAAGTGTTAGGATTTAATTTAATTAATCTGCAGCGGTGCGTTGCCTCAAAACTTAAACATGGAAGCAATTGCTTTAACTTCTGTAACGTTTACAACGGCCATATCGAACCTGGTTCCAGCCATCACCTTTATGATATCCCTCTCCTTCGGGTAAGAATGAATTGATCAAAGTGTTAGATAGTTTGAGAATATGTATAAAATGTGGTATTAATTAATTTAAATAAAAGAAAATGATAAGTGTACGTTTCATGTGTTGAGATTGGAGAGATTAAATTTAAGAACAGGAGCAGGGAAGGCGAAGATAATTGGAACGATAACCGGAATCAGTGGGGCAATGATACTGACTTTCATTAAAGGCCCAGAAGTGAAGATGCTGTCTTTCCATGTTAACCTTTTCAACCACCGAAACGGCAACGTCGTACATCCTCACCCTTCTTCTGCCGTTATGACCGTATTTGGCGCTCTCGCCTCTGTCGCAAGCAACGTCTCTTATGCTCTCTGGCTCATCATTCAGGTCACTTTAGTTACTGCGTCTCACTCTCACTTTACGCTTGTCGTTTAGATTATTTAATTTCCAATTTTGGTTTCTCAGGCAAAGATGAGTCAAAGGTACCCCTGTCCTTATTCCAGCACTGCGTTGATGTCTCTAATGGGAGCACTGTTATCCATTTCTTTTGCTTTTTGCGTTGAAAGGGATTTTAGTCAGTGGAAGTTGGGTTGGAATGTTAGGCTTCTAACTGTGGCTTATGCGGTATAAGGCTACACTATTTGATAAACTAAGGTTACGTTGCATGTTAATTATATATATAAGTGAATTAATATGTGATTATTGGTGTAGGGTATAGTGGTTTCTGGAGTGATGGTAGCTGCGATTTCATGGTGTGTACGCACGAGGGGCCCATTGTTTGTCTCCGTTTTTAGCCCTCTAATGCTTGTGGTTGTGGCTTTTGCTGGATCCACCATTTTGGACGAGAAGCTATACCTTGGAAGGTATGCTTGTCATTGGTTATGCTTGGTTTCATTTTCAACTGCTAACTTGTTTTTCATGTATAATTTCAGCATCATTGGATCAATGTTGATAATTTGCGGATTATACGTGGTTCTATGGGGGCAAGCACAAAGAGATGAGGAAGAATAAATCTGTTCCATCAGAAAGCACCAATAAACCTGACTCGGTTCAAATAATGATTAAATCTCGAGTAGAAGAGAAAAGCAACGATAAGATAATGAACATGCATGAGAAAATGGAAATGTAACACATATATACACTACAAGGCAAGAACATAAGTGATATGTCATCATACTGTACAATCTACCCAACATGCTGTGGCCATATTTTTCTAGTGTTGGCTAATTAACTTCATTTCCCTCCTCTTCGTCTTTCTTTTCTTATGTCATTGGTTTCTCTTCGAACCAAATTATAAAAACAAATTAAACTTGTATTCAATTACAACTTAGAAATGCATTTGTTGACGCTATATATAAGATCATTCCAAATTATTTTTAACTCTGATGGAGATAACTTTATCACTTTTACTTTTAGTAGCACTGTAACAAAAAATCATCGATAAATGTCGAGTTAATTTATGCAATATTTGTAAATGGGCTCAAAATAAAAATTTTCTCGTGATCATGCATACTGACCATGCATGTTTGAATTAGTTTATTTTCTTATTTAAAAATAGTTTTAATTTTTAAAAAGTAATTTTTACTGAAAGAAAAAAAGCTTTTTCAAAGATGTAGTTGATGTTAAAGATACATGTTGCAAGGAAAATAATTTTTGGACATCTCTTGGGTGTCTACTTGCGTAGATAGAATTATAAGAAGGATTAATAATTGATACAATATGTGATGTAATGTAACATAAAAATAAATTAAAGATTAAGAAGTGTTAATAAAATGTTATTATTTGCGAGTTTCTAAACATTACCACCGTAATTGCAAAGTCATTTGTGAGCTTCAACTTTACCTGTGGGCTTATCAATGAATTAACTCTTATAAAGTTATAATCATAATACCGTCACAAATAAAATTTTGTTGAAGGCCTAAACTTATATGTGTATAGGCTTTTTTGCCACCGCAAATGGGCTTTTTCTTCATAGATCATTTGTAGTTGGTGTTTTTTTATTATCATGGAATCACTATACGTGAACAAAAATAGGGTGTTTGATGGTACTTTATTTGTAAAAAAATAAAATAAAGTTACTTAAGATTTGCTTAGATTTTGGCTAACTGTTCATAATATTTTTTGTTTGACTGAATTTAAGTATAAGAGGAGTAGCATATTGAAAAATGTTAAAATGTCAATCAAATGAAAAATGGAGAGAGTAATTTACTAAAATGTATGCTTACGAATTATGTTTATCTACCAATTTTTTTAATTTCTATACTTGACAATTTTTTAGAAATATATAGTACACTTTATTTACTACTCAAAACATACACGCACACGCACGCACGTACACACGCACGCGTGTATATATATATATATGAAATCAACTTATATTATTAATTTATGTCTAAAGTTATTTATGTGTTGTTAATATGACCATGAAAATATTGAATAGTTGTTAGAAATATATAGTACACTTTATTTACTACTCAAAACATACACGCACACGCACGCACGTACACACGCACGCGTGTATATATATATATATGAAATCAACTTATATTATTAATTTATGTCTAAAGTTATTTATGTGTTGTTAATATGACCATGAAAATATTGAATAGTTGTTAAAAAAGTGATATTTACATATTAATATAACACACAAACCTTAAAAAATATTATCATAAGTTAAAAATCCGACCATCTAACAACGATAACGCAAATAATGGTTACACGAAAATAAATATTGCAAGAAAATAATCAGACTAAATTGAAAAAAAATGTGTTTGTATAAGAAATAAAATTCACTATTTTTAATAATAAAAATTATAAGAGAAAGTTTGTACAAATGAAGTTTTTTAAGTTTTTTTTAGGAAAAAAACTACATCTCTTTATTGGTTATTTTTCTGAAGTTTTAATAAGAATTAATAGAGCAGATAATAATCTAGATTCATTCATAAACATCTTTTTCATTAAAAAAAAACTAATATTTTAATATGTGTACTGCATGAGATATATTATTATTTCTATATAAATATAATTAAAACATAAATAAAATGATATATTTTAAATATATGAATTATATTATAATTAAAATTTATAATAAATAAATATTTTTAATATATAAATTATAATTTAGATTTGTAATAAATAATTTAGATTTTGGAATGTTTTTATTTTTAAGTATTAACATATATATTCTTTAAAAAAAAAATTTAAAAAAAAAGATAGAAATTGCAGAAAAATAAAATGTAAAATTGAAATAAAATTAAGTTTACCTAGAGACACAAGTCCTGAGCAATGACATTATGTTTCTTGGCAAGTGTATGAAATTGTTTAAATAGTAAAATGGAGTGTGTGAAGTGTTATATCATATATGACAGGAGGCTTACATAATACTGAGTCAAGTTTAATTCTATTGTATTTATAAGGTTATAACAATTATAAGCAATACAGAACCCCTACGTGAGTAGCTTCACGTTCACTACGAGTTTGATGCGGGAAGGGGAGACAACAGAGGTAGGAAGATCAATTGTAAATAATTTTATATAATGTTGATTTTTTAAGTAAATAGTTATAATTTGTAATTAATTAAAAGAAGGTGTTACAGTGTGTCATGCACGACAGATCTTTACTCATGGAAGAAGAAGAAAAAGAGGAAAAAGAAGAAAAAGAGGAAAAAGAAAGTGGCATTGCTACCAAAAATTGGCTCCGACGGCGATGGACGGTTGTCAGCAACGGTCCATGACAGTATACGGTTGTGGATGGCCGGGAAGAAAAGGAGATTGAAATAATAGAGTATGGAGGGTGGAATAATATATTAATATAAGAGATAACAATTTTGGTGCATGATGGTAGGCTCCGTTTATTTTTCTATTTTTGGACCTGAAATAGTCTTCACATAATACAGGAGAGACTCCAATTCAAGTAACCTTTGAATTAAACGACTCATCGAGATTCAACTGGAGTACTAGTGTTTTGTTATATATATAATTTTTTGTAAATATTATTTTTTTTTGGTCAATTAATTCAATTACTTTATGAAGATTTTTATAAAATAAAATAAAGTTTACAAGATTTCACATAATTAATTGATGTATAATATGTTATTTAAAATATAAATAAATTTATGTGATGTTGAGAAACAGAAAGTGTTGTATAGGAATGGGGTTGGAAAGACGAAAAGAGAGTTGTGGAATGACGCCGGCAGGGTTGTTGAAGGCACGTCCCTACTTCATTCGATCAATTCAATATTTTAAGCAACCAACATATTAGCATTTGGGTCTGTCGCTGCAACTTCACTTTTAATAAAGCTTCGTACATGTTCATTGCTTGTTCATGTATCAATATATATTCTCAGTGTTTTAACTATATATGTAGGCCACTCAATTAATTAGCTTATTAAAATACTACTATTACTCATGAGTTGAGGATTAATTAAATAGAGTATGTTAGTGGTGACGTGCACAACTGTCCTTAAACACAACTTTGGAAGCAGAATTGTGTTTGTGTGTTGCATGTAGAGCCATTTTGTACGTCATTTCTTATATACTATAAAGGTCGGCTTTCTCGTGATTACCAAAAAGTTACAGGAAATTATGGGGTAAGAGGCAATTAAGTAGCACACCTATCAAATCAATTTTTAAAAATTAATAAATAGAGGAAGTAGTTATTTCCATTTTTAACTCTACCTCGTGGAACCCTGCATTCCACTATAAATTAAAATAAATAAATTCTAAAGACATTAAGAAAATACGCTTTTTCTGTACATTCATTATTTGTCATTACTCATTAGATGCATGGATGAAATTACCTTGGAATAGAAAAACGAGTAATGATGTATTTTTTTTATAATACTTTTTACAATGTATATAAAATAGAGAAGAAAAAAGAATGCGATAAACTGGTAAAAGATGTAACGACCCGGCTGGTCACTACACACGGTATAGCACATGAAAATTATGATTACATGTGTTTTCAACGGGAAACCAAACACACTAAATTAAGAATAAATCTCATCTTCAAATGTTCCAGGTTACAATTCTACACTTTAAGAAAACACACCTGATATTCCAGTAATGGTTTTACACATTTTGGTTTGCAAGACTCTTCAAGATATCTCTTCTGATCAACAGGTTCCTCGTCAGCCCTAAATTCATAATAAAATTCAAAGATAAATGAAATGCAATAAATAGAAGAAAAAATAAAATGAAATGAAAAAAACAAGCAGAAAAGCTCAGAAACACCTAACACCACAATTATACTGAATTACTAAATAAAAACAAACCAAATTCTAATATACGCCATACTCTACAATTTTCAAAAGCAGCCAAGCTAACATTATGACACCTTGATTAATGAGGCAAATTAAAATCAGCACTAGCAAAGCCATTAATATAAAGAAAAAACTGAAAGCTTTCGCAACGAAGTGAAGGGAACCAGGCATATCAAAATGATAAAACGAAACCTATAAACGAAAAAAGGGCTAAAACAGCACATACTTATATGGGTCCTTAGTGATTCTGTTTAATAAATCGAGCACAAGTCCATCATCAAATTCATTCAAAACATCATTTTCGAAGTAATTTATCTCACACATAACAGAACACAAGGCAACTCGAAACGGAAGCAATCATTTCAACACCAACACTGAATATGGAGTATTTATCACTATCAAAGTAGCATCAAACATAATTAGTTAGTGACATACAGCTAACAAACACCCCAAAAAAAAAAATTCTAGCATTGGATGATCCCAATCTCTCAAGGGATCACGACAGTAATGCTGGAAACCAACAACCCCCATTTTGAATTCGCACAATACCCCAATAAACCCAGCATAAAAAAAATCGAACTTCTGCATCAAATTCAAAGAGAAACCCCAAATCACATTCCAATCCCCAAAATTTCTGCGGCAATCAAGCGTGTGCTAAGAATCTCATTATCGCAATCGGTTCTCCATGCGCTTTCCAAATGAAAGCCCCAAATAAAAATGAAATGAATTGCAGCGAAGTTTCGAAACCCTAGATTTAAAAAGCGGGGGCATAAAAGATGGGTTTGCAAGAATAGATCTAGCAGATGAGAAATGAAAGAAGGAGAGAAGGTTGGAGACGTACATTGCAGAGAGGTTGCAGAGCGTTGGAGGTGGTGTTGGGCAGTGGTGTTGATGTTGTTGTTTTGGGCTTTTTCAAAAGCTTGTATTTCGGATCAAATAGTTGTTCGAGTCCCACCCTCCTTCCATTCTATTAAATTAGGGTTCCATCCACCTTCCCAGTGTTGGTCAAATTACAGCACAATTACATTTTTGTGCCTTTTTTTTTTTTAATTTTACTTTTAATTATTTGATTCGATTACAATAGCTTTCATGCTCATCAAATAAAATAGATAGCCCAGAAAGAAAAAAATAAAATAAAATAACATATATATATATAAACACTTAACAACACATTTTAACAACACAACAACTCATCCAACTCATATAACATCTCTACACAACTACACAACTAGGGTTCAATGTAATGTCTTAAATTTCAGATACAATATTCTCAATTTTATTATTATTATACTCTTCTTAAAATAGTAGTATAAATTTTTAGTTTAAAAACAAAACAAATAGAGAATAAGTACAATGTTTTACATAATTACAATACATTAAAAATTTTATTACAAAATTTTTAGTAAAATAAAATAGAATTATATAATATTTATTCCTAATTTTATTATTATTATTATCTTTTTAATAAAATAGAATCATATAATATTTATTCCAATTTAATTATTATCTTATTTTTAAAAAAAAATAAGATTCTTAAATTTTAGTTACCATATTCCAATAAATATATAAATATTGATATTTTATTTTTGATACCTTATAAAACCTACTTTAGATAAGGTAAAGCATGTCAATAAAATTCAATTCAATATATAAGATAAAATCTGCGTAAAATTCAATTCAATAGATAAGATAAAATCTGCATAAAATCTACTTTATATAAGGTAAAGCATGTCAATAAAATTCAATTCAATATATAAGATAAAATCTGCGTAAAATTCAATTCAATAGATAAGATAAAATCTACATAAAACATGCAACGTGCACAGTAAATAAACTTGTAACTTATAGTTAAATTCCACAGTTCAGTTCCGCACGGGCCTATAAATAACATAGGGGAAGGGGAACGGAACAACACACAGTGAGAGAGATAAAAGTGAGAAAGAAATGTTGTGAAAAGATGTGGAAAAATATATTTTAGAACAACTGAATCTTATTTTTTTTTATTTTATAAACTATCAGGTATATATTATAACTCTCTCACACTAGATGAAACCATTTTTAAGAATAAAGTAGTACTCCTTATACGACAATTAGTTGAAGTTTATTAAATTAATAAAACTGTGCCCGTACATGAAACGCAAAATCTCTCATAGCCAACAAACATTCTTACCTCGTGCATGCTTCCATTAACAATAGTACCATCGCACTACTAAATATAAAATAGTAAAACATTTATATTTGCCTGTTGCACATTACGTATATATATATATATATATATATATATATATGTATGTGCTA